ATTGCTATTTACAAAATAAACTCGAATGCTCGGGATGCATCACAACCAAATAAATTAATTAACGGAATGGTATATAAACGAATTGGAATTTCTGTCATAATATTCGGACATTTATTTAATCTACATGCATCACGCAATATGGTGTTTAAAAGGAACGTTCGAGTTCGGTGGCGTGGAAATTTGTAATCAAATATTAACAAATTTTACATTTGGTAACAACAAAACTTTTTCGAGTGGGTGTGTAAATGACAATTATCAATATTGTAATTGGAGTGAACTAAAACCGGACGAGCCTATTATATATACACGTCACGGCGAATTTTAATTTCCATAAATTAATAAAATGATATTCTCGTCGATATTCGTGATAACGCAATACGAGAAAAAAATTTGCAAGCAATCGAATTTTGCCGTTTAATTGATCTCAATTGGAAGATACTTTTAATTGCGTGATTCACTTTGGTGATTGCAGCATGCGCTTTGTCTTCTTATGATAACGTTTATTTCCAAATAATACCGAGAGCTTTGTTCCATATCTGTGTTTACCAAACTATATCGCAAAAGGATTACATAAAAATTCAATCAGTGGTTTATGCACCGTGGAAATGAAATCATTATTAACGACATCATGGACTTTAGTTAACACCGCGCATTTGACACCGAGGTCAAGCATTTCCATGGATTCCGATAATTAATTTCCCTCGGCGGTCAGCGGTGGTGCGATAATCAACGAACCACCGTAACAGCGGCAGATCGTTATCGGCTTTGCCAACCAGGCAAGCCTAATCGTCTTTTACGGTTGTCAGCGACGATCGAACCGCGCGACAAGCACAGTAGATATTCGCGTGCGCGCAACAATCGCCATCGGGGGAGCCAATACGCGCTTAGACATCGGTACAAATATGCGTATCGTAAAAGCCTAGTTGTAGGCTTCGTCGATCGCTAACATGGGCGTCGACGTGTCTCGGTGTTGCGACCGCCCATCGGTATTCCCCGTTGGTCATTCAATAATAATTTATACATACAGCGGCGACGTATGTCCATGTCCAGTTTGCAGGGTAAAGTCGCCTTTAACGATCGCCGGCATGTACGATGGAGTATCACCGTCGATCGAGCAGGCTCGGCGTGCTTTCGCGGCCGCGATCGACGGTCCTGGTGTGAGCGATTTTATGCTAATCGAATTCGCCTTGTGCGTCCACGGCTCTCTTGGGAAACGTGCAATCGCGACCGCGTTAACGCGCGTGGATGGAGCGGAACTTTTCGTGCGGTACAATTTTTCTTCGTGCACCGCGATCGCTATGCACTCCTCCTCCTATCCGCGTATCGACATTTGTGCAATCGTCACGATCGATTGCGTCGATAGTGCGGGTGTGCGTAGCGCGATTAGCGAACTGGTAATTTACATTGACCGGGTCGCAACGATTTGCAACGAGTTGCGCGCGGATTAATAATTACAGCGCTCGCGATTCTGTGGCGCGGAAAATGCGTATTCGCGCTCCGTGAATTTATCACGTTTTCATCATAATTGTAATAAAAAGTGAAAAATTAATCAGAGCATTTTACACGTGTCTGAGTCTTAAATTCGAGTCATACTGGCGTACCGTTTGTCCGCTCGGGTGATCAGATGATTAGTTTTACTTCTCTCAGTTCCCTTGCGTGTTCGCGACAATTAAAAGTGGCGCAACAGATACAGCCACAGGTTTGCAGCGCACACATCGTCGCGATAGAAATTTCTCCTCCGCCGAAGAGGATACGACTGTAATGTAAACCGCCATAAATTATCAGTCGATATGCGGAATTAATCGAATCTTATGCGAATATACGACGGTACATACCACACATATTTCTCTGTTGGCCCATACAATACAGCCAATTAAAAAAACGAAATATTCGAGTGGCTTCCTGGTAACCGTCATGCTAGTATAGAAATTTATTTACTTGCCAATTAGCCACATTCAAGCAAGGTAGCAAATTCTTAGCTAGTAACGATGGAGAACGTGTAATAGATCGGGGAATCGATAGTATTCTCATATGTATGCATCCTGAAACCTCATTAACGGTAAAAGCATGGCTGATCGATTTAATCACGCATCAATAATGAAAACTTTTTGATAATAATTATTTACTCGTGAATCTTATTGTAGAAGTACAACTTTTATTTGTATTTTATTTGTATCATATAATAAATATTATATTTTTCAACAACTTGAACTTTTTTAAAGACAAATAATGATTCGATTTGATTTACAATATCAAACATTCTGAATTCAGATTTCATCCGATAGCGGATGGAAGTCGCAGTCGCATTTATTAAATTAAATCCGATCGGTGAATATCGACGAATCGGAGATCTCAACTAAAGGATAAAATATTGCGCGAGTGCAAGTAACATATGCACCATAACTCCCAATTATTTCATTTCGGCTGAGAGCGTACAGATCGATTTACGAATGTCATATTTGTCTTTCTGTTCGAGTGTACTCTGTATAATCAGTAAATGAATCTTTCTGAAAGAATCAATGGAAATTACTATTACTTATTAATCTCTTGTAAATCTTGAAGATATAGAATTTCTCTCTGCAAATATATTCGGAATATTTAATAATTATTTCACACATCCGATTCAGTAAAGACAGAATATCCATTCATTCCCCAAAGTTTTTTGGTCCATAAAGGATTAACGAAGTCAACGACGAGACATCTCTCCTATCGTCATCGTCAAAGCATATCGCAGTAACAAATCACTCCTTATATGGCCAAGCAAAATTTGTGGGTATGTAAGGAAGAAAAAGAAAAAAAAAGAGAAAGCGGTAGATGAAGAAAGAGAGATAAAAGAAGACAACATGATAAGGGGAAAGAAGAAGAAGAGATGGAGAAGCCGTGAGGCCTCATGCCGAGTCAAGTCACGGTCGAATCTTTTTCGCTTTGAGATCCTTCGACGACGAGGCCCCGTGTCTTCTTCTTCTTCTTCTTCTTCTTCTTCTTCTTCTTCTTCCTCTTCCTTCTCCTTGTCCTTTGTGTAGTTTGGCGCCGTGTATTTTTCACGGTCTGCGTCGAGGGCTAATCGAAATAGTGAGCGCCACCTCGACCCGACTATATTTAGCCCTTTTACCGCCTCTCTCGCACCACTTCGTCGATCGTTTATTTCATCGCACAGCACGAGAATACCTGCCTCGTGACACTAACAATGATAATCTGGTGTTTCAATGGTGCAGTGTAAAATAATAATGGATTATTAGGTTTTATTATGTTATTAGATTTTATTATATTATTAGGTTTTATTATTTATTACATTTTATTATGTATTCTAATTAATACGAACATAGATAGAATTTCTAGTAGTATATTGTTGGTAAAAATAAAACTCCTGCAGTTTATTCACAGTGATGCCTGCTTTCAAATATTTTGCTAATAAAAAGTTCCTTGTAACAAAGATATGTATTGTAACAAAGATACAAGATATATTTACTATCAAAATAGCAAGAAAAATATTATCACATTTTTTGTCATATTATCAATTTATACAACTCTTTTAATATCAAATAATATTATGTAAACTTTGATACTTAATGTTTTTTTAAAAACTAATTAAAAAACTTGTTAAAAAAGTTTAAATAAGATAACTGATGTATGTATTTAGTTTTGCTTCTTCATATACGTTTGATATCCTTTTTTCCAGTTCATAAAAGCTTTATCTTACTTTACTTCGACAGTTAATCGGGATATGCACGGCGTATCTCGTCCCAGCTTCTAAGTCTTTACCTTTTCTACCTCTGAAACCGTCCTCCCGTCTTTTTTTTTATCGCATGGACCTTCGGGATACTTGTTCCATGACGCCCGGCGCGCCGTCGGAGGTCCGAGCTCTAACACCTTCGTAACAAGAAATAGAATAATGCGAATCGGTGTTGATCATGCTGCAGATTAGCACGCCCGTAGCTATGCTCCGGCATTAATCACCCGTGGTCACTGACAGGTCTCGCCGTTTCCTGTCAGATAGCGATTGATGGTTGAAATAATGAGCGGCAAGTTCCAATAAGCTTTGCATTAACGTCCCCCCTGCTCTCGTGATGTTGAACGATGTCGAGCGGTGTCCTTTCCACATTGAAGTACTTATACTTCATGGAAACTAAGCATAATACTCTGCGTCGTATGCTGATATAAACTAACTCGGTAGAAACTCAATTTCTAAGTGCACGGGTGTGTGCATGTGTGTGTACATACTTAAGGCGAACATACTTATATAATATTAATACCCAAATGAAAGAGAGAGAGAGAGAGAGAGAGAGAGAGAGAGAGAGATTTTACGCCACCATCAATTCAGTCGTGCTTCGCTTTCATAAGAGTTCGTTATAATCTCATATATCTCATTAATATTTCCGCATGTCGTCGCCGTCGATGGTGTTCGTGCAAAATTGCAAAGAGATACGCCCCCACAAGTCTACCATTTCTCGCGCCCGCTGTTCTTCCCACGTTGAAGATCACGATTTGTTTTGTTCTAAGCAGAAACGTACAACGTGACTTCCACTTAATTAGACGTAGAATCTGTTGACATTTCGAATGATGTAAATGTTTTAAAATACATGATATGTATATCTTGTATAACCAGTTTCAAAAGCTGTAATAAATAATTATGGTACCACTATTAATTAAAAAAGCTTTTTTAGAGTAGAATTTATATGAAGTTTTGACATAAAACGTACCCTTTCAATATCTGAAGCTAATTCGTAAACGCAAGATAACACGCGCAAAGAGCTTGAAAATATCGAGACAACGGTCTCGCCTTTATACCGCAGTGGATTAACAAGCCTTTCAGGATGACGTATGCGCCACTTTTAAGCTAAACGGTCCATTCGTATTCGTCGGTCACGACGAGACTCTCGCCAATCTCTCTGTTTTTCTCTCTCTCTCTCTTTCTCTCTTTCCCTCCCCTTCCCCTCCCCCTCTCTCTTTCTCTCTCTATGTTTGAGTAATACGAGACCCGGTTTTGTGTTTCAGGCAGGTATGTTGCACGGCGATCATGGCGAGTTCTGGGTGGAACCAGTCGCCGTGTCCCTGGAAGAAAAACACGGCACATTGTCAGCCGACGAAGCGACGAGCGGCGACTTAAGCGCCGGTGCCCGCTCGTCGGTCTACGGGGGACCGACAGCCGGCCGACCTCATCTCATCTTCCGGCGTTCGGCCGAGCAGCAGCAACAGCAGCTCGAGATCGGCGCAGGCGGCCGTAGCAAGCGACGGCGCAAAAAGAAGAGGAAGCAAGAGAGAAACTGCGGCACCCGCGGTGAGAACAGACCCCGACATCTTCTTCTTGTTCCTCTTTCGCCTTTCGCCCGCGCGCCCTACAACCGCACGCGCGTCCCCCGCACTTGCTGCCGCCGTCCCACACCTCTCGCTTTTTCGCCCTCTCTTGTAATATGTATCGCATGTATTTATGTGTCTGCGCGTATAATGTAATTGGACGCGCCGTGGTACAGAACGTGGGCGTGTCATCGACGCCTTGTCTGTCCTTTATTTTTCGCCGACGATAATATCCGACCGGGGAGGAAGAACAGGGTGGGCGAGAGAAAGGGTGTGGAAGAGCGTTTAGTCTCGCGCGAGAATATTGAAATTCATGGCGGTGTTAGAATTGATTTTAACAAACTTCTGGTACCTCTTTCGCCCGTAACACAATGGCTTTATAACTCTATATGTGAGATTTCCTGCGCGGGTGAAACATTTACGCAAAACGTCTTCGGCAATCGAATATCGATCAGTATGATGATTCGAATGATAGTTCGAATCAATTTACCAAATCTAATTCGACTACAAATCTCGAAATTACCGCTTCGTAGTCTTTGGCATAACTTCAACTTTATGATCTAGCCATCCTTCCTGACGACTCTACATTTCAACGGATTAAACATGCACGAGCGCGTCGATGTATAGAGAAGTAAGATCGTTCGGTTGATACGTTTCTCTATAGGGCGAGGCACTATCCACAAGGGGATAATCCAATTCGCTGCAAAGCCGTAATTAACTACAATGAATATCCATTTCGGCGAGCCGACCGATCCATCGGGCGGACCAAATAAGATCTTAATTGCAGACTTACAATTTGCCAATCTGCGTAAATCAACCCTAGCGTTTCGTGATGTGAAAGCTATCTTCTAACTCGATCAGTTGACAAAAATTACGAGTATTCGTATATTTTTAGCCGATATTGTTAAAAATGTTAGGGCCAAAAATAAACTGTGATGTCAAAAGTACAGCCACTAAGAAAACAGAAATTAGCGACTACATTGATTATGACAACACGTGAAATATCCGACAGAACCGCGTCGATTGACAGAGACGCGGCTCGAATGGCAAACTCAACCAGGCCTCGTCCAAGTTCAAGGCCGTGGGCGAAGGAAACATCATCAAGCGAAACGGTGGCATCGTTCCAAAAGATCGATCAGCACACCGCGTCATGTCGAGGCTCTTGTCGTCGCTGACACGACGATGATGGCTTTTCACCAGGACGGCGACGTGGAGACCTATCTTCTAACCATCATGAACATGGTTTCCGCGCTCTACCTCGATCCAACCATCGGCAATTTCATCAACATCGTAGTGGTCAGGATTATTCTCGTCGAAGAGGAAGACGCAGAGGTATTTTCGCCACGTTCAAAGTCGCTTTCAGATCAATTATGCGATAAACGTGCAATGGTATGTACGTTCGTGTCCTTCGATAGACAGAGCGATTACTCGAGATAAATCGTTTCTGCCCCAGCAAGGACTGGACATCACGGTGAACGCAGATAAGACCCTATACAATTTCTGCAAATGGCAGCAGAAGCTAAATCCCGCCGACGATTCGCACCCGAATCACCACGATGTGGCGATCCTGGTGACGAGAGAGGACATTTGTTCACGTGCGAATACTCCTTGCAGTACACTGGGAGTGGCGCACGTCGCTGGCATGTGTCAACCAGATCGCAGCTGCAGCGTCAACGAGGACAATGGGATCACGTTGGCGCATACAATCACGCACGAATTAGGGCATAAGTAAGCAAAAACGAGAAATTATAATCAAAGAAAAAGCCATCAAAGAAAAAGATTCTATGCTTCAAAATGTTAAATTACATATTTTTTGAAAAATTAATAAAAAGTAAAGACAAATTAAAAATTTGAAAAGATATAATATCTGTTTTACATGCCTTAATTTTAAACGTTCTGCTGCATATTTTGTTCAGCTTTGGAATGTATCACGACACGGAAAAAATCGGCTGCAGTAAACGCGAAGGCGACACCCTACATGTGATGACGCCATCCTTTGAGGTGGATGCTGTCGGAGTGGCATGGTCTAGATGCTCTAGAAGGGATATCACGAACTTTTTAGAGTAAATAAAAGATGTTTAATAAATTAAATTAATACGGAATTCTGTAATTTTTTATTTTCTATTAATATTTTATTTTCTAATATAAATAAAGGATGTAGCATGTGTATATATTCTTGATTTCCAGCCAAGGGAAAGGCGATTGTTTAGATGATGAACCCGCAGGTAATGATTATACATATCCAGATTTGCCACCTGGTGCAATGTACAATGCCGAACACCAATGCAGGCTGCAATTCGGCGTGAGAGAAGCTTCCGTCTGCACTCCGTTGCAGGAGGTAAACAAAGCCTATAAAGATGGTAAATGGCCAGTCCGAGTTCAACTAGGATCAGCTTCGATTTAAACGACCACACGGTATTTATGATTACAGATCTGTTCGAAACTATGGTGCGTCGTGGACGGCTCTTGCACTACTATGTTGCATCCGGCAGCTCCAGGAACAAATTGCGGGAAACATATGGTACAAAATAATTAATATTTTTCATAAAATATTTGTCGTTATAAATCTATTATTTAGGAAGATAAATTTTGCATGAAGATGTTAAATTTAATGACATGTGTTGCTCTTTGCGTAGTGGTGTCAAAATCAGGAATGCGTGCCTATCGTCGATCGACCGCAGCAAATCGATGGCGGTTGGGGTGAGTGGGGATCATGGAGCGAGTGCTCGAGAACTTGCGGTGCCGGTGTCTCGATTGTCGAAAGGAAATGCGATCATCCGGAGCCCGCACACGGCGGAAAGTTTTGCATAGGCGAGAGGCGGCGCTACAAAATCTGCAACACGCAGCCGTGTCCGGAAGGCACGCCAAGTTTCCGGGCCGTGCAATGCAGCAACTACGATGGTAAAGAGTACAAGGGAAAGAACTATACCTGGTTGCCGTATTTCGACCAGAGTAAGTGAACTTTTAAACGCTGTATAATGCGAGCGCGGTTGTAATTTCCATAACTTCATGCTGTTCCAAAATTACATGCATTATTCAGCGGTTTAACACTAATTACGATGCGAGATTTGATTTCCATCGTTCCATTTAGCGGAACCTTGCGAGCTTTATTGCACCGATACAGATGAAAGTGTAATCGTACCCTGGGGAGAAGCCGCTCTCGATGGTACTCCATGCAATGTTGGTACCAGAGACATGTGCATCGCTGGCATCTGCAGGGTCAGTGTTCTCCAAAAGAATTACCTTTCAAATTTAAGAAATTTTAAACTTTTAGAGAAGAAAAGAAAACAATTTTAAAGATTAAATAACTTTTATTTTTAGAAAGTCGGTTGTGATTGGATGGTGGATTCCGAGGCTACGGAAGATCGTTGCGGTATTTGTCACGGTGATGGTACTCAATGCGAGACTACTAGCGGCGTTTACGACAAAAACGATGGTCCCGGATACAAGGAAGTTGTTATCATACCATCCGGTTCGCGAAACATTAAAATCGAAGAGGTCGGTAATAGCAAGAATTACATCGGCATCGGCGTTCCGAATTCTGACAAGTATTTTCTGAATGGAAAACGGTATGTATATCTCAAATTACAAAATTATAAATTAATAATTTTATTTTTAATAATAAACTTAAATATAATTTTAAAGCTAATATGGCTGTATAATTTATTTTTTTTTTATTCTCACATCGTTTGATTGCTCAAGTTGTGTATATTTTTATATTATGTATATTTTTATGAAACAACGCAATACTTTATCTATTGCATAGTTTAAAGTTTTAATGAAAGAAATATTGATATAATCAAAGTCTGAAATTGAGATCGTGATCGGACAGGCAAATCACTTTAGCGGGCGAGTACGAAGTTGCCGGGACGCCAGCTCTATATGAACGTGATCGAGATAGAGAGAAAATCAGAATCCCTGGACCTATTAAGGAAGATATCGCGGTCTATGTTAGTACATTCTTGAGATGTAAAACATATAAAAGTACAAAATATAACTATTAAATTACGCAATAATTACAAAATATTCAGAAATTAAAACAATAAAACAATTTTGTTTATTTAGTCGCATTAAATATATTATTTAATTTGTTGAGTCGATTACAACATCGTCTACACACTTTTTATTTCAACCATTATAAATAATCTTTCTTCATATCCTTTCTGGTTTCAGTTAATTTACAGAGGTAATTATCGCAATTTTGGACTACGTTACGAATACACTGTGCCGAAAAAGGAACCTGCTCGAGCTCCGGAATACTCATGGATATCCTCCGATTGGACTCTCTGCACAGTCACTTGCGGTGGTGGCACTCAAACTTCGCACACGGTCTGTCACGAAAGAAAAAGTGGCATCGTCGAAGACCATTTCTGTGACGGTATAGAAAAGCCGGAGCCGAAGTCTCGCGAATGCAATTCGAATCCCTGCCCTGCAAGGTAACCAACTTCGATACCGATAAAGCGATTGTAGCAACAAACTTCGAGAAACATCGTTGCCTCGTAAACGAAAATAAATTCGAAACGGTTGGATGGAACTTTATTCGATTTTCAATTCCCATCTTTTATTCTTGCGGTTCTTGCGACTAAAATTATTTATTGATTTCACATTCATATTACAAATTAATAGGAATTGTTAGCGAAGGGGATGTCTTATTTAAAAAGATTGTACTTTTTTAACTTTTTTGATATATCAGGTGGTGGGCAGGCCCATGGCAAATGTGTCCTGTCACATGTGGTGACGGTGCGTTACGCAAGAGATCGGTGATGTGTGTGTTCTCTGGCGCGGGTACCGATCGTTCAGACCTGGCCCTGCCCGATCGCGATTGTGACAAGCACACGCGGCCCGATGAAGTGGGACTGTGCCCCGATCTACCACCGTGCGGGCCCACCTCGGAGGCACCGTTGATCGTGTACACCGACAACAAAGACATGTCATTCTACAACATCAGCCTGAACGAGCAGGACGGCATTACGATAGTTGACAGTCTCACCACCGAGGAGCCAGAGATCCTCGAATTCGACAACGTCGTCGACGAGAACCCAGACAATTCCATGTACAACACCAAGTCAAAGTGGACAGTATCGAAGTGGAGTCACTGTTCGAACGGCAAGAGAAGCAGAAAGGTCAGCTGCTCCGTCTCGGGCGATTGTAATCCGAATAACAAGCCGCACAGCGTCGAGGACTGTTACAGTGGAAAATGGATCACCGGTAAATTATCAATCGACGCTTTGTGTGATTTATTGACGCTACCTATAGTTCCTCTGTTCTAAATATACGCAATTAAATGTTCTCTTTTCGCTAATTAAAATTATAAAAGTTATAAAAGTTATAAAAGTTATAAAATAAAATTATAAAAGTTTTTATTCATATTACATTATGAAATTTTGTTATCTGACGAAAATGTTGAAACATAAAAAACGGTCTAGTTTATATATATATATCAAAAACATGGATGAAAAACATGAATAAAAACCAATGGCGTTATTGAATAAAAACCAAAAGATATAAGTATTTATGAATGCTAAAAGCGGATTTTGAAGTTAGATATTTATGAAGGTTTTTACGCGATAGTATTTATTAATTGTAATTCCAGGAAACTGGGGAAATTGCAATGCGACTTGCCTCGTGAAGTCCGGAGTTAAACACAGAGAAGTACAGTGTCGTGATCGCGCGACGGACTTGCTGTCAAATGATTGCAATCTCAATAGAAGACCATTTGATACAAAACGCTGTTATTATCGACGGCAGTGTGCCAACGAGAAAAATGGTAATTACATCCGCACAATTAAAATATACTCTTGAAAGCCTTCTCTGCACATCCTCTATAAAATGTTGAAGCTATTTTCAGATAATTACAATATATGCGAAGATACTGAGTTTTTGAGATTTTCACAAAAGATACTCTACAAAAAAAGATGAGCTCTCTTAAGAAACATTTGACACAATTACAGGCGTCTTTACGAAATGTTTCGCTATGCAATATTAATAATCCAGTTCCTACACAAAATACTTTCTACAAACATATCTTTAAAAGCTTTTCTGGCGCATTTATCGCACCATTGTAATTGATGTTGAATAGAAGTTTGGGGCAACCTAACAGAGTTATAACGGAACCGAGAGAATTAGAACGCGTAGCCGCATGTAATGCTAAGTTATGCTAGTTACATTACAGATGGTTTGGCTTGTCCAAACTTGTGGAATATGGCCTTGTCCAAAGGCGTCGGGAAATTAGAATTTATACGAGGAAACCGCGGCTCGTAACGACTTGCTTTATGAGATCACACGCGACGTTGCTCGATTTGCATGCGCATACGATACACCTAACGCGCGCGCGCGCGTGCGTGTATAAATATATTATAAAGTGCCTTACAAGTATCATTAACATATAGAATGCCGTTTAAGCGAACCCTAAAGATTTGCAAATAAAATGATTGATTGATTTCTTCATTTTTACTATTACTTTTTTATTATTGTACTTTATAGTATGTATAAGAAAAATTTCTAACTTATTTATTTAACTGTTTGTTGGTACACAATCAGAATTTATATATATATATATATATATATATATATATATTTCTTTATCTTTATCTTTATTTTCATTTTATATAATCTTTTCAGATTGCAAAGATAGCATAGTTCCATCGTGTGCAAACTACAGACGCATGTGCGATGTATCAGCGATACGAGAAATGTGTTGCGCCACGTGCACGAAACGACGACGACATGTCCGTCACAACAGACGGCATATTTTTACCGAGTAACAAAATAAAGGGCTGAAAATCTAAAAATATGAAAGTACTTTAAAAATAAATCCTTGCATACGGGCAACACATCCGTCCTGCTTTGTCCATATTATCCGAATACGATAAAAAGCGATAATGTGAAGTTTCACGTTTGTTTCGCATGTGACACAACGAGAAGATGGAAAAAATGTATGACAGAAGTGATATTTACATTACGAGATTATATTTGTAACTTTATACTACTGCATATACATATATATGTGTGTGTGTGTATGTATGTATGTATATATATTTTGTATCCAGATGTAATCATAGTGCCACTTATTTGGTACATCATCATTTATCAATCCATCTTATGTTTGTTAAAATATTAATTGCAAAATATTGTAAATGCCAAATATATATTTACTAGATATAATATTTTAAGAGAAATGATCAAAATAATAATACGAAACTAAAACATTAAAAAGTTTTATATAATAATGGAAATAATGGTTTTTATATCAAAACAGATTGTTGTTTAATATATTTTTCGCTTCATTTAATATTTTGTCAAAATGATAATGTACTAATTATTGTAAATTTTAGGTAATGATATTTTATAATTTCTAATGTTCTTTATATATATATAAAGGCATTACGTCTTAATTTAATTATATTATAAAGAAATAATTTCAATCATTTTCAAATTGAAAAAGATTCGAATTTGTAATATAAAACTTCTAGGATATATCATTATTTTAAGAATAGTATATTTGTATATCTGACTAATTGATGCAATAAGTTTCTTACAGTTAACGCTTGATGTACAATATATAAAAATAATGATACAAAAATTTATAAATAATGTTTTATATTTCCATTTTATATCTTCATTTTTACATTAGAATAAAATAATATAAAATTCATTTTTATATATACAGATTTGATCAATTTAATTGATAGCAAAAAAGGACTAAACTTGCATTAATTATTACATTGCATTAATTATCTTTCATATTTGCTTATTTATGTAAAATTATTTTGTATTTGTCCAAAATAAAATTCCTTTTTCCTCTATTCTCCTCAAAAAGAAGGACATAAATGTTTTACAACTATAGTCAATTCATAACAAAGCTTACAAAAATATTTACAACAAAAACGTTTCATAATGTGTGAAATGTATGTGCACGCGCGCGCGCGTGTGTGTGTGTGTGTGTGTGTGTGTGTGTGTGTGTGTGTGTGTGTGTGTGTGTGTGTGTGTATGCGTGAAACTGACATATCATTTAAAATCTGGCAATAAATATAAAAAGATCTTACATGAGAAACGTTATGTGAACCTGATGGTATCTAAATGGTAATGAAATGGGGATGATTTCTCCTGGTAATTTTTATATTTTAATGGTCAGAATTATATTTATCTAAACGGAACTATAAAACTATTAAAAATAAAATTAGAATTTTCAATAATTAATGAGTTTCCACGAAATAATGTGTCAGCTTCACACACACGCAAAATATAGAACTTTAACATTATTTTATGTCCTAAATTAGAAATTATATGAATATTTAGTTTTATATTAAGAAATTATCATGCAAGCAATTTCATGATTTACTGAAATGTACATCCGTTTAAATAGCTTCATCCACAATTTCATTGAGATTAACAACAAAATCACTTTCTATTCCTCAAATAATAGAAAGAAAATGTTCAAACTGCAACTAATAAGTTTTGCAATTTACATGCAATTAACTTTTTACCTCAATATTTTGTATTTTATTCCAATATATTCGCGACATGATGTTTGTTTCAAGCCGCCATTTATATAGGATTTTAATAGTATTACTCGCCGTAAGTGGCGTTACCGTCACTATCTTGAAATGACCTTGAAAATGTCCTTCAATGTAGTATTACTTGGAAATACACATTTCATTCATAAATTCTATAACCTGTACACTCAATGCTCCTGTTTTGACGATTCGCAAATGACATTCTCGCTTCACGAGCGAGTATGATTGCGATCACATTATGAATAAAATATCCTGTCTGAAAGACATGTGACGCACAATATAGTAATGATTATTTGTTATATATTGTAATACAGTTTCTGAAAAATGTCTGCGATTATAGATGATAAGATTGTCGCAGGTGCAAAGAGTTCAAATACTATCAAAGAAGATCCGATCGTGGCGTTAACGGTATGTAAAACATGTTATATTTTCCTTATACATTGGTTTTTATTTTTTTCTTCATTTTTTTTAATTTAATATGTATTCTTACTATTATTATTGTTCTTACTACTTACAATTTTAGGAAAGAGTAAAAGCTTTGTATCTCTTCCGAGATCGTTATTTTGAGACGCATTCTATTGATGAAGCAATAAAAAAAAATACTGATGTGGAGAAGGAAATGAAAGATACATTGAGCAAGTTTGATGAATGTAAAGGATATGAGATTGATGGCTCACGTGCTAAGTATTATTATTTAAAGGGAAGGGCTTTGAACGTAGTCGATCGTTTTATCCCACAGGCGGAAGAACTTTTAAGTAAAGCGGTGAAATTGGAGCCTAAATTAATAGAAGCTTGGAATGAACTAGGGGAATGTTACTGGAAAAATGATGATATTAAACAAGCAAAAAATTGTTTCGTTGGTGCTCTGCAACATGTACGTTTTCTTTCTGACTTGCTATACAACATTAATTAGTTTCATTATTATTATTATTATTATATTACACTATATATGTTTCTTCTTTCTATTTATATTTCTTTGTTATAGGATAGGAATAAGGTATCTTTGCGAAATTTATCAATGGTGCTTAGACAGGAACAAACGTCATCTGTCGAAGAGCGGATAAAAAATATTCAGCAAGGAGTAGAATATAGCAAAGAAGCTGTAAGCCTTGACACAACTGATGGAATTTCCTGGGCAATATTAGGAAATGCTTATTTGTCTTCCTTCTTCATAGTTGCACAAAACCCAAGTACGTTACGTTTGTGCATGTCAGCATACATGCAAGCGGTAAGTTGATGGATAAAAAAGTATTCATTTATTATATATACATGTGTTACACATATTTTTCGTAGATTTTAGATTTTTTTCATAGATTTTTATATGAAATTTTTTCTTTCTTCAGGAAAAAGATATTATTGCTAGAAGTAATCCTGATTTGTTTTATAATAAAGCAGTGGTAATGTATAACTAAATTTTTACAAATGTTATTTCTAATTTGGTACTTAAAACTTCTTTTAATCTACAAATTTATTTCAGGCTTTGAAATATCAAGAAGAATATAATTTAGCATTGCAATCATTCGAAAATGCAATAGCACTGGATCCATTATGGGAAACACCGCGCAGTAAACGAGATGAATTGCTACAATATCTTAAAGATATACAAAATTCGATTAATAATAATGGATACGTGAAACCAAAAAGATTGTACCAATTGATACGGGTATTTATATATGATAAAAATTAAAAATAATAAACAATTAACAGTTAATTATATTAAATCACAATTATTAATACATGTGACAATGTAAACATATGATTTTGGCACAATATACATATTTATAGGTTTATGATTAAATATAGGCATTGGATATTAAACACTTGGGACCATATAAAGATGGAGCATATACATCTGGAGATAAATCTATAAAGTTAGATTTAATTCCATTACGAGAATTATCTCTTGGATTAAATACGGAGAAAGTCGTATTTGGAAAGGTAATTTGTTGGATTCAAGATTCAGATTGCGTCCCATTGTAAGTATTTACTTCCTACATTATATAAATTGTTTGTCTACTTTATATTTATCCGTTAAAGTCGAATAATATTTAGTCTCTCTTTTTTGTTCAGTGCTTTTTGTCTCGTGGACGAACAGAAGACATACATTATTGTTACTGTATATAATCTAGCTAAAGGCCGAGGAGTTACGGTCGGAGATTCTGTTGGTATACCAGAGCCCTTTGTTGTACATCAAAAATTCTCTCATATGAATAATGTTAGTACTGTGTCTATGTTGTAAGTATAAATCGAATTTTACTGGACACACGATAATATATTTTTATTTTTTAGGATTTTGACTATAGGTCTATTCGTGTTGAAACTCCAATTGTACTTGTAGTTAATGGAAGAAAATTAGGTCGAGAACAACAAGCCAGTGCAAATTTGCAAACTTTTAAAAAAACAGATTAAATCTAAACAATACGTTGGTTGAATATTGAATCACATTTCTCAGTTACAAATAATTTCTGATCTTACTTGTGTTTTTTAATATCAATATATATTATTTTAATATATATTGATATTTAATATACAATATTTATAATATATTATATATAATACAATGTGATTCAAAATTTATGAATTAAAATATCATAGCAAATAGTCTTCAAAAAAATATATATAATAAAAATATTTATTTCAAGCAATAGTTTTGGAGACATAAAGTCGACTAATTACAAATTATAATAAAATTATGATAAAATAGCCACTGAGTGGCGGCATCAATTATGTTAGTATAATATTGATCAAAAATTAATTGTGATGCTGTCAAAGTGCTGCGGACGTCACATATATAACCATTTATCCAATATATAATATCAGTGAGCGTTTGAGGTCACTAATACAATCGATACCGCAACTCATGGATAAATGGCCGTTTAATTATAACCTATGATTGATTAATTTTGAAGCTTTCTATCTCAAAAACTGCTTAAAATGAAAAATATTTTTTTGAAAACTTTGTTGTGAAATTTCAATTCGCGAGGATTTCATCCTATGTATAATATATAATATTTAATAATATAATTTTAATAAATACCAATATATTTACAATTTTTATTTACGACTACTTTGCACGATGACATACGAATTTAAAACGAATATATTTCGAAATGTTATAGGCGCCAATCATATTGGTAATAATCAAAAAGTAGAAGATATGTTATATCACTTTCGTATTTTATAACAATCTATGAAAAAAATATTTGCACATCTAAACTGCCGCATTTGTCAAATTCATAAAAGAAAAAAAATTGAGATCTCTTTTTCATTGCGATAGTAATTATATGTAAGAAAATAAAGCAGCAAACATATCTGCCAGTTTATATAAATTATAAATTCATAAGACTTTGCTGTATTTTTTACATTTAAATTTATATGACTGAAGTAGAAATATTATAACATTTTATTTATATTTTAAATTATAAATATACTTTAGTTTTAATTCTCTGCTATTGAATAGTTAGTCTTCTATTGGCCTTTTAAGCATGCACGTTTGAACGAAGAACGAAAGACGAAATCAACATGACATTACAAAGATTCTCAATCATTGAATCTTGCTTTATTTGAAATAATTATAGTATACATGAAGAATCTCAAGTAAAAAGTAGATCGTTGGAAAAAGAAATCTGAAAAATTTGCCTATTTATTTAAAATTCATATAAAAAACATTATCTACTGTTTAATAAATTGTCATTAAATTACAATTAAATTTTGTACATAAAAAATACTAAAAGTATAGGATGCAAAAATAATGTTTGTTACAAGCTTTATAGTTATACATAATTTTTAAAAAATTAATATATTAGAAAATCCAATTGCATATGCTGATTATATAGTTTGGTATATCTTCTGTTATATTATACTGTTTCTCATATTCATAAATCAAAGCAAGATAAAAATTATCATCATATACTTATATCATCATCGGTTTAAAAAAAGGAAGGAAAAGAAAAGAACGAGAAAGAAAGATGTATGTATCCAATCGTCTGTTTTGCAATGCCAATAAATCAATTCGTTGTGTAATATAAAATTTCATACAATATTGGTCCACAGTATCAATCATCTGCGAATACATAGTCTTTAACAACTTATATGAAGAAATGTATTAGAGAAAATAATTCTCTAGTTACAAAAAACAACAGAACTTATAAAATACATTACCTACATGTAACTTTTGCATTTAAAGCAGCAAAGTAATAATCCATTAACCCAATCTGCATGTATAAAACTGCATATCGAGTTGAACAAACAAATGCACACATCTTTTTCATGTCTATCTAAAATATGCTATCTCTTTTGTACGACAATAGATCGAAGTAAAGAACTTATGGTACATTGCAACACCATGTTCTTCAGTCAGATTGTATGAATAATGCTTGTGATATATTAAAAATATTTTGTATAAAGATGTTTTCTACTAATGATTACAATAATAAATACTTATTTATAACAATAACAGTATTTATGGATTATTGTATATGTGGCAGAAGGATATATCCGTCCGAGGAACCTTTAGCATTGACGAACGTCGTTGCGACGGGTGCTGGATCGTTATTCCCAAGGACACCATGGATCCACACCACGTAAAAATTATCAGTGTCATTTATATTTTCACACCGATATATTTATTTATTATTCGACGACGTCAAACGCAAGCGACGGTATCCCAAATGCTTCCAGTTCGTCCACAATCAACACGTATTACGTCATCACATATTCACTTCCCAGAGCTTGAAGTAGTTGTCAATCACTTCTAGAAACCACTGACGTCTTTTTGGATCCTTGAAAGCGGGCGCTAATGTCCGCAATTGTAATTGCAGTAACGCTTCGTCGCTCAACAGTCCGTCCAATTGCTTGAGCAACGCCGTGTCGCCGTGCAACTTCAATAAACTGGCGTAAGTGAAGACATAATATTGCACCCGAAGACGTTGCACGGCCCACGCCTCCACGCTACGATTACCGCTGGCTGATTGTATGGAGCCTATATGCTCCGCGTACCACGGCGAAAAATAATTACTCAACTCGACGGCCGACAGCTCCCCGACTCCCCGTGTTTTCAGCCGTTCCTTTATTCGCGAATACACCTGAGGAGTGTACACGAACACCTGGAAAAAGAATATCCCGAATATATTTCGTCATGTGTTTATCAAACGACATCAGATTTGTGTATTTGAGACGACGAGATGCTTGTTGAGATGGTTATGTCCAATTAATGAAGAGATTGGACTTCTAGATTGCGGCATCATGTATTTCAAGCAGAAAGTTACGTGATTTCACTTTTACTGACATTGACGCGATGATGTAAACCACTAGTGAGAATTAGGCTCGGTACAGTAAGGCGTTCCTGTGCGGTATATACGAGAAAGAAAATGAGGATGCTACTAGTAGCATCTGTTAGACGGGGAAGTGCATGATAAATGAGCTCTACTTCATTTTTATCTAACCGAGACTGTATCGAGATTGCATTCTTTTCACGGTGAGTCGATTGCAACAGCGATCAGTGGACCGCATAATTAAGGAGAATGCACCGATGCAGAGAAACGAAGAATCTCATGTCTATTTTTATTATTGTTATAGCATTGAATCAACTGATCGCAAGTTTATATGAATGCAAATGTGCATAACATACATACATAATGCAATGTTTTTAGAGAAGTATTTTAATCGTGGAAACATTCGTTACCACATTTCCTCCTTTTGTCAGAATAAATCTCATCATTTAATTGTTGCAAAATTGGCGCATTCAGATTAAGCATTATTTTTACAGAATTGTTTCAATTTTTATTATCTATTAAAAATATCCTGTTCGATTTTTACGATTTAGCTGTTGTCTTTGGGTGGATATTCTAATCGCTTACTTGATAGAGCGAATTCCCAGTGATGTAGGAAGCAATATAGTGCGAACCGTAGTTCCGAATGAATCGCACCACGCTCGCGGTATCGCCGACCGTGACGTTTTCGGTCTGCTGCAACACGGAATCGTTGAGAGCGAGAGTCTCGGCGGTGCCGGCGAGTCGTTGAGTATCGCGGAATCTAGCGACACGTACGAGGACGTAACAGTGGTCGCCCGTGATGAAGGACGAATTTATGCCGAGGTGCCTGGCTATGGCTGTTTTTGACCAACTTCCAGTAAAGGCACGCCATGGCCTCTCCAGCCTCTCGAAAGTGAAGTCACGGAAATAGGCCTGCAGGAGTTGTCTGTAAATATAAATTGCAATCACCTTCTCGTAATCATCGCCTGATCTATTATATCATCTTTTTTCAAGCTTGCTTCTATTGGGAATTCTATTTGGAATTAAGAAATAATAAAATAAATGATTTTTTAAGTCGTATTTGATTGCATTATAAAAGACTTTGTAATCAGTTTTTATTTCGGTGATTAATTATATAAGATTCAATTCTGTCTCAATTTAGATTAACTTTAATCTCAGTTGATCTTGTTTTCTATCCTTTTTTAAAAGAAAGAATAAATTAAAGCGGGATTGAAATTCATTCACAATGATAGAAATGAGTATTAGTAGCACCATTAGCAGTTTCTACTACCTTGTCCGTTTTTTCTCTTTTTTTTTACATTAACATTACGTGCCTGATATTGTCGCAAAACTCCATGTGAAAATCGCCGTCGAAGACGGCGGTGCCACCTTTGCCTGTTTGGCGTAGTTTGGGCGGCAATGGTGCGGGATTCTTGAAGATGTCGAGAATCGGCTCGCGGAATATCCAGGTCTCTGAATCATTGCGCGGTACCACTCTCATACTGATGCTCAAGTATCCGTAACGACTAAAAACGTTCACGGCGCCACCGAGTTGTGGACGTTGTGATCTGGTAACGCGAGCGCCGATCAGCAACGCGAGTATCAACGCCAGGAGAAAGAGCCGCGTGCGTGACCACATCTCTGAGCGGCTACCTGGGTCTAGATGGTACCTGAAACACAGATCGTGATATGCACGAAATTTATCAAGTTATATAAAGTATTTAGAGCTTAACACATACAATACATCGGATCTGACAACTGAATCAATTTTACTAAGGAAGCTCACCTATTCAAATATATTTCTCTAAAATATATTTCCCTAAACACTTTTTTTACAACGTTTTTAAAACACTATATCGTGGGTGTCAGAAAGATACTTTTTTTATCTCATTCAAGTTCGCATCAGGAAGCAACGTTTGCATTTTGCTTCTCTACCGAGAAGCCTGTCTCGATTCGCGCGAGGAAGCTACGACGTCGTCATCGCGACTACCGGTTTACGACCGCACGTGCATTTCCCGGCAGTGAAGTCGTTGTTACCGCGTTGTGGCGTGCTGTATCTCGTTATGTGGGTCTAGGTATGCGCCGTCGAGGTGTTTGCACGAGCGAAGCCAGCGGCCTTCATCCCCACCTGGCTCGTATCGGACGAACACCTTTACCGGTGTGTGTTTTGAACCTTCTCTCCCTCTCTCCACACGTACATCTTGATTCGATAATTCACTCCCTCTTGCCGATCAGGAAGAACGGCGAGCGCACATCTTCTTCCAGACGGCCGACGGCGAGTGGGCGACCCACCGCCATCCCGCATCCGTTTTGCTTCGTTGCGTCTCGATACGGAGGCGGACACCTTGCACGAGCATCATAATGATGTGGACAATTATTATGAATATTTAAGTCGCTTTTGCGATCATTATCTTGAATTATATTTTCGGAATGAAACAGGGAAATAACTAAAGAGGTCAAGAAGATGGCTACACGACACTGTGATGCTATCATAATTGTGACGTAGTCGATTTCCCATTCGAGAATAGCATCACAGTGTCGTTTGGAATTAATTTGGAATTAGTTTGGAAAACAGTTGTCGATTGGAATTTAAATGCAGAGTACTGCTTATTCTGCAATTTGAATTTGAATGGAGAACAAGTGTTACAGGTATCTTGTGAACGTATAGTACATCAAGAAATTTAAAAACGAGCTGACGGTAATAATTAGCAACAGCATTGCGAAGCACTTCGAATTTTGCAAGATCACACTTTTACTCGGTAAATCTCAACCTTCCCGAATACAATTTGACGACGCTTCTGCATGAAACAGAGCAGAGAAAGTTACATTTTTTGAGAGAATAATTTTCAGTTGATGTCAAAATGTCAAAATATGAATCATCATTATAAAAAAAATTACATAATAAACTTTTAAAAAAATATGAATTATTAGGAATATATTATATTTCTGTTCCTTTTTCCATCTTTTCAAAGCTAGTTGACCTAAAAGAAGTCACAAGCATGAATAATATATAAAATACCAACACTCTTTCTTTCTTTGAAGTACCATGATTCTATAACTTCACCTTTCGAGATGACAGTGCAATACATTACAATTATGAATTGTTAGGAATATATTATATTTCTGTTTCTTTTTCTATTTTTTCAGGGCTATTTGATCTAAGAGGAGTCACAAGCTACATGAATAATATATAAAGTACAAATACTCTTTCTTTCTTTGAAGTATCACGATTCTATAACCTCACCTTTCGAGGTGACAGTGCAATTATATTACAATTATAAAAGATGCTACACCAGATAAAAGGATAAGAAACCGTTAAAGCAGCGAAACGGTTTTCTCTCATGCGTCTCTCTTATGAGAGATAATTAATCTACGTCTCTTAATATTTTCACTCAATTAAGCATATCCGCCCGTATGTGACGTATCAGATGCGTTGATGCATACTGGTACGCACGATCACAAAGTAAAATTTTGTCAAGATAATTGTTTGGATCTTATTTGTTGAGGAAAAAAGCGAAAAAGACGTTTAAAATAATATTTTAGTATCGGGACACTTAAATCTACTTGACAAAAAAGAATAAGAAAAAAAAGGGTTCTCGAATACCGAGTTGCGGCATGTAACAGCTCTCTGTCACCAGAATCGGCAAAGATCCGAAGTGCAAGTCCGAGTGAAAGTGAAATTAAACTGTACTTTTGCCTCGTGTCTATAGACATAAAAAAGAAGCTCAATGTAAAATTATGACAGATGATGTATCTGCTTGCAGAAGTCGTTAAGACGTTAAGATATTAAAAGCGAAGGATATACGGAAATGAGTAGACGTGCGTAAATGATGAACCATCGATGTTCAATGAAACGGAAAAGAGAATGATGCGGTTGAATAGGAACGTAACTCTCTTTGGAAATTCCATTAAGGATGGCCAGAATTCGAGACTCTTGCTTTGCCGCAGAGATACACCGACGACCGATGTAGTAATTAAGTTTTCTGTCATCCAATCGAAGAGATGAAATTACTTGTCCCTCGCAAAGGGGAACGAGTCTGATGGATTAGATTTGGCGGGAACAACGAAGTCAGCTCAACTATTCTTTCTATTTATCAAACAATCATTTAAAATATATTTGAGTATTTTTCGAAGCGGCAAAAAAGAACACGCGATATTTTTTTCCTGTAAATAATATATTTATAAATCGTGATGAGAATTATTCAACCTTTCTGACAACGGGTTTCATTTATAGATATCTATCTGTGAATAATGCATTCGTAACGGACCGTGAAATGCGGTGCAGTAGATATAATAGATGATCGTGATAGAAATTAATTTAACGTTTAATGAAGCTTCGTGGGAGTGGATAATAATTAAATCGACCATCGGTAATAATTAACGGAGACCGGAAAGTTAAATGACGTTTATCGTGCGTTACACGAGCACGTGCAATCGAACGCGCATTGCATCGACGTTTAACTGACATAACGAGTGCGCGATAGTCCGATTGAACCGCTGCGATTTTTATCTCTCAAACGACGCGTACACGCCTCAATTCGTCTTCCTTGTTGTTAGGGAATTAAAGCGATCATTTTGCACAATGCCGCTCTCGATATAAATCGATTTAAATCCCCCTGGCCAGGGGATCACGTTGCATTTTCGTCGCGCAACGCTCTATAACTTGCCGGACTACTCAATAGTATACTCTGGGGTAAACTTTGACATTCCTGTACGCTTCTCCTGTCTTATTTGCCCCAGTGGCCTTTGCAGCCTATGAGAATACCACGAAGCGATTAGCATGAAGTTATAATTATGCAATAGCTCGGTCGATTTTTATTTTCGCGCAAAGAAGAATAGTCCCGTGGATATGATTAATTGCTTTGTTAATTTTATAAGACATTCATTTTATTTTAAAAAAATTTCTTGATTTTGATATATTAGTATCATGAGCTAATAAATCGTTTCATTGCATGTTGACAGGTGGAAGTTAAATACGTTGCATTCTCACTCAAAATAATAGAGAGTAAGCCTGGATTTATCTGTGGTCTAATAGTGCTCGATATATCACCGTCAGTTCAAACTACATCATTTTTTCATGACAGCATTCTACATGACTAAACTTCACTGGGTCAATGCAGTGAAGGTGAGTCACACATGCGATCTATTTACTGCACATGTTTTGTTCTATTATTCGAGTAATGCGATATCAATGTGGTGAATGTAAAATTTATTATTGTCATATCTATACGTTGTTTTCGTAGTAACAGACAAAGTTTCATCTCGATTTTAAACGGCGTTTTGTCGTCATCGCTAGACGATGATACATATGAATTTGCAATAATTTACGCATAATAGGAAGTCGTTTCATCGGTTTATCTCAAAAAGAAGATCGCTCCATATACCCAGATTCGAAGCTGCTAACCGCGAACAAAAGTAGTCATACATATTCATGAGATTACGACAAGAACGTTGAGATGGAGAACGTCTCGATTGTTTCGCTTACTATCGCTTAGCCCGTCGATAGTTGCGTCAAAGACGCTGATTTTTCAAGACTGATCAATCCCAACAACTGTGCATGTTTCTGCCGTATGATAAAGCACTTCATAAAAGCGTTTCGTTTGTGAATGTAACCTATTCTGGTACAAACACAATTTTTATTTCAGTTTATTTAATTCTATAAAATTTATATTCTATAATCTTTCTATAATCTTTTTATAAGTAATGAGACAGCGTATTTTATTAAAGATTTCTGCAATGTCACGTCTAGAATGAATCAATGTTCCGAACCTTTAACTGATGAACTTGAATGAAAAGGCCATGGCACTAACGAGACATTAAGAAAAGCTAAGTCATCAAATTAGTAAAAGCAACGGAAGCAACGAGCTCCACTTTCGCCATTGCTTTCGAGCATACGAGAGTGGTTTGTCAACTCGCGTGATTAGGATTTTACGAGCCTATTCCTATCGATGCGACGTTGACATCGCATTCTTACTTTCAACTGAAGACCAAGTCTAATAAATGAATCTAGATTTCAGAAGGGAAGTAGCCATATAATATTATTTTTTATGCAACGCGATTGTTTATTTGATGCCTGTACACAAAATTTCAAAATGATAGACACTTTCGCAGTGACCAACACTTACCGAGTGTAAAATAGAAAGTTACGTGAAATTTAACGTTCACGAGCGTAAACCAACGCGTTTCTGTACGCCTGATTGCTGGTGCACCGAACGATAAATAAAATTATGTAATATGTACGTAGCATCTGCAAGACTGCAGGATACGCATATGTGTGTGTACTTCTTAAGAAGTTGAATAAATCTCCAACATTCTCTAAAAATTTTAAATCAGAAAATAAATAAAAAATATTAAAAGGCATAAAAAGTATAAATAAAGTAATTTAAAAAAATTGCAATATAAAAATATTATGCAGCAGCTTAAAAAGAATTATTACATCACGTGAGACAGATAAAAAATTCGTAATTTATTGAAAGATAGGAAGTTGACATTATAAATGATTTTTGTGAAATAATTGTTTGATTATCAAGAAATTACGAAACGGACAGTAATTTTTTATGCTTAAATGTCCGTATATGAATATGTATGTTTAATCCTGCATTTAGTAATGTATTTATACATCGATGACGACTAAGAGCTTTATATTAACGAAACAGACATTGCATCTGTTATATTATGAGAAGGATAAAGTTAGCTGTAATATAATAGGGAGGTTATATAAACTTTGCAAAGAATAAAAGATATTGTAAGAATTTCTGTTGCGGTACCTTTTTCAAAAAATCGATAAAGTTCGAAACACAGATGATACGGAGACACAAAGTCGATAAGGAACTGGAAGGTCCACTTGCTCAGCTTTCTATTAACGCATTGCTACCATTATGATCGTAGTGAATTGCCATGATGTAAAAAAAATTTCGATCGGAGGATAATAATTGAGCATATAGACAATTGCGATTCGCTTGTCGCGGCATACAACGGCGCAGAAGCCAATAGAGAAGAATTATTTAAGTAGCCTTGCGGTTGTAACTATTGAAAGGGGTACGTTACGTTGTCCCATTAGATGCAGGAAACGCGATCACAGAGCGTCGAATGATACAAACAACCGCTTTGGATCTAATTGAGATCTAGGATCGACCTAAGGAGACTAACTAGCCGCGGTTAATGCGGCGGCGGAAAATTTCGAAGCGGTCGAATGCAACTATCGTCGAACAAAATTGATTGTAAAACTCGACATTTGAATTTAATTTTGTGCTGTTTTGCTGCGGAAAAAATATATGCACTAGTTACGGAAAACTGCAGGTGTACCGAAGGTCTATGCTTGTTAGTGAAACCAGTTCTATGCTGTTTTGAAGTGGAAACAATATTTTCAAGAAAAATACTCTTAACGAGATCGAGATACATGGTTGCGAAGTATAAGCGGACAGATGCGAAAACACACTCTCTCTTTTTCTCTCTCTCTCCCTTCCTCTTTCTCTGTTAAACAAATCAGGAATATTTTTATTTCATTTACAGTTTCAATTTGTGAAATTAGAATAATTGAATGCCGCTCATAAAATGATTGACATAAAGTGCCAAGTGATACATAGAAATATTCTGTTTTAAACAAGAAAATAAGTTTTTAAAGATGTTTAAAATATATATTTTTTAATCATCCTACATATACTTTTATATATTGTAAAAATCTCTAGATATTTTTATATATTTACGAAAGAAGACAAATATATATATATATATTTTTTTTTGTAAAATCCTATAGATTAAATTATCAAATATATGAAAAAATATATTGTTCAGTAGAAGACAACGTTTTTAGTTGAATTGTTTATCCATAATGAGATTTATAATTTCTTAATATAAAGATTGAA